TCAAATTCTGCAAAATCAAGCCCTTAGGGAAATATCTAATGTTCTTCGGTTTATTAAGAATAGCACTTTATATAAGTATTTAAAAATTGAACCGTCAAAACATATATTTCTACAGCTGCCAACAATTCTTACTACGCTACCTTATCATCCCTTAGATACTCTTGCAACAATTAGCATCATTTTAAGGTTGCATTATTCTGTCTTTCAAGCAAAGAAAATTTTGTATGTTTTGACGGGCATCTGACTGCTTATCGATACATGCTAAAATCGTCAAATAGTGTTTCAAACATTATCATTGACATTGAAATTGTTTTCCGCCATTTTCTAACAACCAGTCGCATATATTTTACCAACATTCCAGCACAATTATAATGGAAATTTTAGACTCCCCTACAACGGAGGGACAAGTCGTACTTTTTTACAAGAAAAAGACGTTTTTCCTATAAATGCAATTGTTACAAAAAAGCCGCCCAGTCGGTATTGTGGTTAAGGAAGCTGAGTGCGATACCGAAGGGCCTGGGTTCGAATCCCGGAAAAGGCATGGTTGTAATTGTCCGCCCCTTCACAGGAGGCGATGGTGGCCTACCTGTTAGGTGCTTCCATAATAAAGAGACCACCACATCTGGCCTTGTATAGATTAATGGACTGGGTTACACTGTAACTGTTTACAATCTGCCGTTGGAAAAAAAAATTATTAGAAAAATCAGGATATGAAATTGCATTTTCAAGACAGTATTCAGTTGCGGTGCAACGTTAATTTGTCGTACCAAAAACAATATTATAAAAGAAACATGGTTCGAATTATAGCGACTGAGTACTTTAATGTCTTTGAGTTGATTTTTGGTCACAGAGAAGACTTTAGTGAAATTGTGGGGGGGGAGGGGAACATTTGTTGGTATTTTTCACTACTAATGTTAAATATTTTGATTCTTTAATCATGGGGTGTGGGGTGCTCCATCGACCAAAAACAAATCTGTTGGCGACTTTGTGCAACATTCTTGCTCCAACTTGCAACAAATCTTGCTAATTTAGAAAGAAGCTTAAAAAGATCAGTTAGTTCGAAACTTTTGCTTTAATTTATTTCGTTTGACGCTTTAAACCTAAATGTGTTACAGATTTTGGTACTTTCGTATTTTCCTATCGATCAGCAAATAGGCAAACATCTCCCCAAACTTGCGCCAATCATTCCAATGGAAGTTTGAACAAGCAGATCGATGTTTAATTAATTAATCACAGATACAAGATATTTGTATAAAATACTCAATTAAATATCAGCTGAGATATGTGCAGATATTTCCGCTAATCATTCCGTCGAAAATGTGAGCATAACAGATCCTCTTTATTCAGTTAAATTACACACAGAGGTATTGAAAATTAATCTGTCAAATATAACTAAAATTTCTAGGCAAACGGGCTGTCTGCGTGATCATTTTCATTGTTTTTCCCGTGTGTAACTTTGATAGAAGCCATTTTTCTTAAGAAATTCCTCCACAAAGGTATCGCTTTCATTAGACAGATATCCCTCGCGTGTTTTTTTCAATCAAATAAACCATAAAAACAAGTTAAAAAAATATCTTATGATTGTGTTTTAACTTCACGCTTAAACATTATTGGTGTTAAATTTCCTTGTTTGCTGGTACTTTTTGCCTAGATTGACGATAGGAATATACGTAAATGCTTATATTTTTGGAATCACCGAAGTACACCATATACTTTTAAATCAAAATCAGAAAATCGATTTTGAAAAAAAAATTTTTTTGGTTTGTTTTACTCCCTTTAAAGCATCCCACTCTTGTTAGTTTGAATTGCCCCATTAAGTTTAGTCTTTTAGCCACGCAGTCGATATAGTGGTCAGGGTAGCTGACTGAGATGCCGAAGGGCCTGGGTTCGAATCCGGACAAGGCATGGTTGTAACTATCCGCCCCTTCATAGGAAAGGCGATGGTGGCCCACCTATTAGGTGCCTCCATAATAAAGAGACCAACACATCCGGCCTTGTATCGATTAATGGACTGGGTTACATTTGTAATTGTTCACAATCTGCCACTGGACCAAAAAAAAAAGTTTATTCTTTTAGATTCTCTTATCTTAAGCCTGCCTTGCTTGAGCTTATACCTGTAATAGAATTTTATAGCAAATGGCTCGATACTTCACTTAAAATCGTTTTAACTCTCAGTTTCTATAATTTATGGTCATCAGGATTCTACTGTGCTGTCATGTAAAATATTCCTCAACATTTGAGATGCATTTGCAATAAGATATTCAACTGAAGAACTTTATTTGAAATCAAATGAAAGAATAAGATTTCTGCTTTCTGTTCTTGAAAAGGGATGTATTCTCTACTTTATACAGTATTTTCAACTCTGAGCAAAATTATTAAGTTAAGGCTTTGATCGTTTAGAGCACTACAGATGTATTACTTTACATTTCTACATATATTTAACTCCATTTCCACTAAATTTGAGTTACGTTACATGCACTGCAAACACTCCGCAAGCTTTGCAATTTGGAATTTTTACACATATCTCTTTTAATATTTCGATTTTTTCCACGAGATAAATAATAAATAATTTTGGAAAAGGCTGAATTTGCTATTAATAATCAACTATATCTAAAAGATGTTCATAGTGTGCCCCCCGGAGAAAATATAAATATACTGATATCGCATATTTATTCCGTAATTTTAATGAAACCTAAGAGATTGAGTTTTATATGAAAGCAGAATGTAACTGAGTAATACTCGTTGTCAACTGGAAGCACTAAAGATTTACTTTATATTTGCATTACATAGTTTATATATATAGGCATGTATTTAAAGTTATCATACTTACAGTCTGCATTTATTTATAGTCAATACACAATTCAATCAAAAGTGTTTGCAAATCCTGTTAACAGATAGAAAAAAATCAAAACTGAAACAAAAGCGTATTAAAACAACCACCTTGGGATAAGTTGGCGAGTTTCTATAAATGAAAAGGTAAAAGTTACTTATCATTTGCAAGCTGATGGTTTTCGCGACTTTTTGTAAACGACTAGCTGGTTAAGGTCAAAGCAAAGTTCTAGGTACACCTGAAACGAAAATATGTCAAATATTTCAATTTGAATAAAATCTTTCATATATATTTTAAAAATAATAAATGAGCATCGTGATTCCATAAAAAATTTTCTCTGCCTCTCTTTTGGAAAATACGCATGGTAATTTTAAAGTTTCACCTCGTATGCGCTTCGGCGCAGCATGTCGTACATTAAGAAAGTTCAGGGATAAACGCAACTTAAAGGATGCGAAAATTAGCATTTTCAGAGCTTTTAATTTATATTTTGTCTGATTAAAGTCGTACGAAGATGAGAATGGTAGAAATGGATTCTCATGAATGTTTAGAATCCGGGTTACCTCTCTTAAAATTCCCCCTCTATTCCGAAGGAGATGTATCACAAACAAACAGACAAACGCGCACAGATTTTAATAGTATAGCAGAAGATTCCCGAAATATCCATATTTATTGTAAGCTGGCAAACATTACCAACGTCTGGAAAGGAAACGCAATTTAGTAATTTAAAATTTTAATTACTAAATAAGTATTGCGTGATACACTAATTTTTTTTTCATTTTTCTCAAAATCTTTCCATGATTTTTGTGCTATTCTTTTTTCCAAGTACACAGCGATCTGTTCACACTTAAAACAAAATTCAGAGAATTGAGGGGATACGGCACCGAACAACCTCGGGTAACATCACTATCTACCACACGCATCTCCTCGTTGTTTCCTTGGAGATTTTGCGTCAAAATCCTGTGTTTCTAGAGAAATTTTATTTCACTTTCTTTCAGCGGTGTAAAATTCCATAAGAGCGCATTTAAGCTTAAGGCTTGAAACAGATTTGTTTATAAAAGCCATTGAAATACAACAAAAAGAACGCATGTGAAAATGGCGACGTTGCTTGACTGAAGGAATATTATGAGCATGGTTGCCTGAAGAATCGTCATGCGGATGAATGCCAGAGTTTGGCTCATTCTGAAAATTTGCCAATTTGTTTTAAGGTTTGTTGCGATAATACGCAAAACATAATATAAAATTATAATATGTAGCAGAGTTGAAAATTCGTTAGTCTTTTTTAAACAACACTCGAAAAATTTCAATAGAGCCAATTTCTGAATTATGTCTGAAGGATTACTATATCCCTTCATGAAAAAATAAAAAAAGAAGTCAAATCGCTAGTCAAAAACAAATTTAAGGTAGTTTAAAATAAATACAGACCATTAAAGTTTTTCTATTATTATTAAAGAATGCTATTACAAATTAAATTAATTTTTAACGCCCATCAAGATGAGTTGCTACGATGTGACCTTAAACAAATCATATTACAGAAAATTAAGAAGTAGTATAAATTTAGAAACCAGCAAAACAGTTGGGCAAATAAAAAGCAACTTGCTAAATTAATATGTTTCAAAAAAATGTTTAACCTAACAAAAAAAGTGAAATTGGAAAAAAAACCCTTCAAAACAAGACTAATTCAATTTAAAGTCAAAATTTAAGGAAACATAACCAAGTAAATTTCAAAAGAAGAGTCAATAATCTTTTAAGGCAATTTTGCAGAACTAAAGTTTACAAATTGAAACAACAGAGGAATTTATTCTTAAAGAGCTGTAATAAGCCTAAATTTGTGAAATAATACAAAAGACAGTAATCCCGAAACTTGGAAAAGGAGTTAATTAAATAACAAGTTGAATTGATTAAATAATAAATTGACTGGGAAAGAAAAGTGAAATATGTCTGAAAGATGTACCTAATTTAAAAGCCACTATAATACACATCCACTTTTGATTTAATCATTATTTCTTGATTATTTGACATCACAGCATACTGCGCGACTTAGTAATTATCTTAATTTTGAAATTTTTAAACTTTGGTTTACATTATATCTATCTACATATGTATATTATGCATTCGGCTATTTCATAGTTATATTCTCCCAAATATTATTCATTTATGCAGATGGCTTTAGAATCTTCAAACAGATCGAATGCTTCGATAAAGAAGAAAAGAATTTCTCTACTCTATCGGGAAAAGAGTTCTAGAAATGAGCATAGTTCTCTCACTGCAAGTATCATAAGAGGTAACGTTTTCATGTTTGTCTCTTGTAAAAGTATCCTCCAAAGAAAGCTTTTTTTCTAAAAAAATTAAACTTCTTCATTACTAAGTAACCTCAACCTCCTAAAACTCAATAACATATTTTTTTTTGCTTTAAACCCTTTCCCAAAGCGAAAATTGTCTACCGGTAAGTGCTCAAGAGAAATAATCGAATCGTTAGTTATCTGAAAGACAAGTAAGATCAAGCTTGAAAACGTTGCCACCTAAACGTGTTTAAATTAGAAGTTTAAACATTCACTTCATTGCACAAATCACTAACGCATCTTTTCAAGAATTGGTACATCTTTTACTGAGCTTCAACTAAGTTGCATATAGATTCATTTTTCTATTGAAAAGGAATAAAATTACAAACTATCAGTCTAACATTCTAAATATTTGACTAAAAATGTGGTTAAATAATGCGTTTTTTCAATAGATAGTACTGTGCTTGAAATAGTACAATAATGCTCTGCTTCAAATTTATGTATAATTTGTGAGGTTTATAAATGTTTTGAGAAGTATGCAACCGTTACTATTTTGTTTTCGTATTTGGTGACAAGTTTTAGCTAATAATTTGAAGTTCAATAAATGCCTTTATTTTTTCCCTTCCGTCAGTGGACTGAGGCATTAGGATGTCAGCCAGCGTCCTCAGTAAGAAAACTAATTTTGAGATATCTATCATTAATACATATTTCTGAATCACGCTGTTCGATGATAAAAATAAATATACAAACATTATAAATGAACAGGAAACATATGTAACGAAATGCCTATAAATACAGAATTAAACTAGTTTGAAAATTAAAGGCATGAAATTTGCAGTTACAAGAAATCATAAGCATGGCCCACCAGCGGCTGAGTGGTTAAAGCCACTGAACACTAGTAGTTCGGTCTGGTATTCGAGAAGTCCCGGCGAACGGTTGGCTGCATGGGCGTTTTCTTGGTTTTCCCCATGTGTAACGTGGATACGAGCCAGTTTCCATAAACAGACCTTCACATGCCATCCTTCTGTTTTCACATAGTGCCTAAGGGCGAAGTATAAAATAAGTAAAAAAAGGAAATATAAAATTCAGAATTCTAATAATCCGACTTGCAAAGCTTACATATACTCTGTAATACAGTTAAAAAATGCCATAATTAGTGTTACGAATTACTCCTGCGCAGGTATATTTTATGTAGACAAAAATTTCAGTTTTATTCGAAACTGCAGGCAATGATATTAGCGATGTTAATGCAGTCGCAATGTAGGGAATTTTAGGGCATGAGTATTCGTGCATGCATTTTTTGACCATGAATGACTATGGTCTATAGAATGTTTGCGAAGATGGCAATTCTGCAATCAAATATGTAATACTGATCCCAGGCCACCCCACCCCCCATGCACACTGGTGAATTTTACGTGAAACTGTAGAGGTAGCTCAAAAGACCCGTAACCTGTCAGATACTGAGTGAAATGAGCTGAGCCATTTACTAGGCTGGCCTATTTGAGGAAAATTTACTTTCTTGCCAGTTGTATCCGTTTCTCAGTAACATTGCTCTGTAATCAGTCTGTTCACGTGTTTACTTTTCAGCACATAAATTAGATCCTGCCTGTAGCAAGATCTACTGTATGTACATGGAAATCCGTCGTTTCTCTTAGCTATTGCTCCAGCAGTCTCATTAGAGTGTTCCAGTATAAGCAAGAAAAGAATAGAGGCCAGGTCTATAAAAGATTTTACAACAACAATAAGGAGTTTTTGTATGGCCCTAACAATTAGATTTATGAAGCAATTGCCTTAGATTGCTGCTAAAATGACGATATTCTGTCTCAAAGATTAATACTGCTTACCAGGCTGAAATGTTTTGGTTGCATTTCTTCTAAACCTTAACTGTGTTTCTATAAATTACACAATATCCACTGAGCGTTTCATACTCTACTTTCGAGCCATCACTGTAATTAGCCTTGGCCTCTAGCTTAGCTGGTGTTTTACAGTTTCTTGAGATGTTAAATTCTGCAGGGTGGCATGGTGGCTCTAGAGAGTAAGTAATGTTCAAAGTGTGCATAAACAAATATCTTGTTCCAGAAAATTGTACTTTTGACTCAGCCGTGTTTGATATTTTTGACACAGCCTGATATTTTTGTAATGCCTCAGCCGAATTCTGCTGTATTTCCCTAATTATGTTAGGTTGATATACCGCAAAGGCACCGGTCTGTTTGCCTACGAGGAGGGAGGCCTTTGTGGGGACTTCCTGAGGTGAGGTAAGCTGCTTTGTATTCACTTTGCCTATGGGAGAAAACCTACCATGCAGCCACCCTTTTTTCCTGGGTTTAAGCTAACTACCAATATTCAGCCGTCCCTGATAGGGAACTTCTCGAAATAACTATGATATAAATATTTCAGTGCGCTCTTGTGTTAAATAAATCCTATAGTGTTAAAAATGTTGCGTTTTGTGAGTGTTAATGCATTATGGATGGCATTCTCCTGTTATTCAGACTCGTGATTCAGACATGTTCTCCTGTTCCTCGTGATTCAGACATGTATGTATGCTCATGTATGCATGCGTAAAGACAGACTATAAAGTGTTTAGTGACTCTGACCGCTGACCAAAGTGCCCGGGTTTGAAATCCGGAGAAGGCATAGATGTAATTTCTTCTTCCCTTCATAGGCAATTGTGACCCACCTATTAGGTGCCTTCATAATAAAGAGACTACCGCTTCCATCCTTAGTAGTATGCAATACTTATAAACGGCAACAACTCGCCATTGGTAACTTTAAAAAAAACAATGTGCGTCCCTATCAAGTTCTAGGTTAATTATACTGTGTTTTCCAAATTAATACAGATTACGTTAGTTAATACGCGCCACATCATCGTACTGATGCCCTAGATTGTCTATAGCTTTACTTCTTGAAGAAATAAAGGCAAAATTTTAGGATGCAACACACATCTTTGGCTCCTGATTTAACTTTGAGAAATCATATTTTATAATCTGTAATTTATCTTAACCGTTTGACTGCTACGCGGCGCAAAAAGCGCTGCGTTCATTTGTCTCGAAAACCGCGACGCAGCGCTTTTGCGCTGCCAGTTTTAGTGTGTCTTTGTTGCTTTGAGGGTGTGAACGTAGTCTGACCTCACGCGTACTTTGTAACACGAGTGCATTCTAAAATAACTAACTGCGTCGCAGTTTTCGGGACAAATGAACGCAGTGCTTTTGCGCCGCGTAGCAGTCAAACGGTTAATTTGTTGCTTGGTGTGCATATAGTAATTATATACTTCAGTAACCTGTTGTAACAGCTTTAAATAATATTAAAATCTTGTAGATTAAATAATTTAAATAGATGAACATTAAGGTATTTGTGAATGGCAATATTTGAAACCAGACTCGAGTGCCTCGTGCGACTCTCGCACGAAAAATGTAATTTTATTTTTAAATGATAGAATGTGTTTTCTCTTCTTGTTTGTATGTCGCCATTTTTTTGAGTGTTAAATAAAAGTTATTGCTGTTACATCATTGGAGTTGCTTCATTTCGCCAAAGAAGTATCACAGTCTTAATTATTTTTGGAGGCACTGACCGAGATCGAATAATCGTGCGTATTTTTATTTTATTAGTTCATCACTGAACATAATATTAGTGATACCAGATTATTACTTAATGTTTATATAGAATTGCTTTATGTTATTAGTTCATCACTGAACGCAATATTAGTGATACCAGATTATTACTTCCTGTTAATATTAAATTGTCTTATTTTATTACCGTATTTGATATTATATTTAATATTCATTTTAGTTGTGCAGACGGTAGATATATATATTGCTCTATGTTATTATTCTTATTTTAATCACAATTAATGTGGTAGAGAGAATGAACTTCATATAATTTAAATATTTCATTTTTGAGGTATACGTACTTAAAGTGCATTTAATTTCGTGATTCCTGACTGCATTAACTAAAGTAATTGAATTTAGCTATTTTGAGGAAATATAAAGAACATAGTGTTCGTTAATTTTAAACATAGAAACAATGTCTTACTTAGGAAGAGCTCGTAAGGAAGATTTGCAAAATCTCGCGGCTGAACTGGGAGTTCATGTGACTGCAGATCTGAAAACAGTCAGTTTAAAACAGAAAATTGTTGAAAGTAGAGATTATGATGAAGTATTCGTCAAAGGAGTCTTAGACACAATAATAGAAGAACGGAAAGTGAGGGAGGAAAGGGAAGAACGGAAAGAGAGGGAGGAAAGAGAAGAACGGAAAGAGAGAGAGGAAAGGGAAAGAGAAGAACGTAGGAGACAGGAAGAAGCGGAAGAGCGGAGAAGGAAAGAACAATATGAATTAGAGAGATTAAGACTTGAAGCAGAGACAAAGTCTCAAAATACCGGACAGATCCGGCCGAAAACGGAGCTGCGTCACCTTATGCAGAAATTCGATGACAAGAAAGGAGATATCAGTCTATATTTGCTATTGTTTGAAAGGCAAGCAGAATGGGCTAAAATTGATAAAGAAGAATTTGTATCTCATTTACTAGGACTACTTCCTTACGAAGTAACCCAGTTAATAGCTAGAGAACCCTCCGATAAAGCTAAAGACTATGAACACGTGAAGAATTTATTGTTAAGACGGTTTTTAAACTAAGCCCGGAAAAGTTTAGGCAGAAATTTATGAAACATCAAAAGAGTACCGAATCCACATGGGTGGATTTCAATTATGAAATAGAAAATTATTCGCAAGGAATGGGTGACTGGTCTAGGAGTTAAGACTTTTGATCAGTTGCTAGATTTGATGGTGATTGACCAACTTAAGCGTCGAGTTCCTCCTGAAATTCGAGATCATTTTCTTGATGAGTGGGTAGAGATGATTTCATCTCAAAAAATTACTGAAAAAACTTGATGCCTATGAAAACGTTTGCGCGGAAACTTTCAAAAAAAGCCTGTAGTGGATAGGCAGAAAGAAAGATACAATGCACTAACTCAAGGTAAATTGAGTTCAGATAATAAAAATAAAACTG